TGTGACTGCAGATACTTCTGCAGCCAGCCTCAAGTGGACTCTCGACAAATTGCAGGATTTTGCACTTCCACATTAGCTTCATTTTTCCAACACTGTGGGTTTCCCCTTGGTCTGATCCTGGCCCTAAGTCTCTAGCTAGACTGTTCTCCTCTGCTGCCCGCTGGTGGTGGAAGGAGCTACCAAACTCCATTCGATTTGCAGAGTCCTTTGCATCTTTAAGAAAAAGCTCAATTAATGATATTGATGATATTGATTTCATAATTGTGATGGTCTGAACTCATTCTCTCGTTCACTGCTTCCCACTTGCTATATAAGGAGTGTAGGGAAGACAGTACATAGCGAGCTTATCCCAAGATGACGGAAATACTTTAGAGCCCGTTCACACGTGCACAAAACACATGCAAATTCCCACAAATTTCCGGGTTACCTTCATGTATAAACACAAATGTCTAACCCTGACTTTGCCTGGATTCATTTCGAGCCAGTTCCCATGTAAAATGAGCATAAAAATAACTTGGGGGAACATATGCGGGAATGCAGCAGGTAATATTCAGGAAAATTCCCAAGGGGAAGGGTTTAGATAACATGATTTCATATGTCAGCAAGCGACTGGTGCGATTAATGAAGCTGCTTTATTTTGGTTTCTGCTTTCCATTTTTTAAAAATCTTTTATCTTTACTGTGAACACATCCAATGACACTTGATATAGAGGCAACAACTGCCATCATTGCATAAGTCTGTTGCTCGTCCTCCATCTTGGCGCGTCCTTTTTTTTACGTCATGGCTTACCTCCTGAGAATTAATTCATAAAGAAATAAAAGTGAGATGAAATCAAAGCTCAAAATCAAAGAGGAATGTATGTATGATTGTATGAGAAAACACTGAACCAGAATTCATTCATTATTCATATACGTATTGCAAAACCTGTTTACAGCTGACATAATCCATATCATGCCTTTATGTAGGATACATGTAAATTATGCATCTAAGAAGAATTCTATGGATTATTATGCATCATGGATTTTGGTTTCATGCTTTACATTAGCTACTAGATGGGTGCTTAACGTAGAAACTTAAACATACTGTGTGCATATGAGCCTGAGCAAAGAACTTAAAGATTCATGCAAAATGAATAGAGAAGCGGCTGCAGATATATGATCCCACGAGTAGTCTTCACATGCACACAAACTGCCTATGTGCACATACATGTTTATTACACACACAGCGCGGTGGACTGGACAGACTCCAAAATTCACACAAGTAGTTTGCAGCAGACTGTCTGGCTTTGTGGAGATTTTCTGTCATCCCTTCTTGTCAGCTTAACACTACTGTCCCACAGAGCCGGTTTTCATTCCCTCCACCTCAGCCGCAGCGCGTCATGTCTCCTCTCCATGCTCTGTAAAATATGTACTTTTCCCCCTGAGCCTGAGAACTGATTTCTCATCTGCGGCAGGGATGGGAAGACTCTCCAGAGCAGCAATTCTTTATTCTGCCTGTCGCGGCAACAACTGAAGCACACACAATCCCTGTACAGTCAGCAGCTCAAATCTTGGGATTTAGCTGCCAGTTCATCATGTTTGAGGGGGGTGAAAGGTTGAACTGGAACAACACCTGAAGACACAAAACAGATGAACTCTAACACTTGTCTCTATGGACTCTACTGACTTTACTGAAAAGCAGTTAGAAAGCATTTTACTTCACTCATAGAAGGCAAATATAATAGGCTTGGCACACTTTGCAATCCCCTTCAGTCAGAATTTGGCTTGTCAGGTTATTTCAAATATGAGCAGGAATGAAAATGTACTGCACTGTGTACTTAAGACATTGGGGGAATTCAAGGACTGTTATGAAGCTGCAGTGATTAACAGATTTGTAAATTGTGTCCAAAACACTCTCTCAGTCTCCCAGGAGCTTCTTAAACACACAAACAAACAAGCAAGTCATGAGGCATTTGCAACAAATAAGAACCACATGTCAGCAGAGACGCTTATTTTGCACCGTCACTTGGTATTAATAAATTACCTGTTCATTAAATCTGCACTGTTGCTGCTGGAAGGGAAACTGCTTGGCCTTTTTTGGGGGGGTCTTAGGTTGTGTATATCCGGTTAAAGAGAGCTGTCCATCACTGGTTTCAGTAGTGGAGGCTGACCCAAGCCTGCTGGGAACTGAACTGTAGTTAATTAGTGCACAAAGCCGGGGGGACAAAAGAAACTTTGGGGTGGAGGTGATTTGGGGAGTTCCTTGGAAGTATGGGGGATGTGAAGGGGGAGTGAAGGGGGATAAAAAGGGGGGACTTTGGGGGTACTTTGCATGTGTGTGTTCCTGTGTCTGGCTGCAGCAGGAGGGGGGTATAAAGCAGTGGGTGTGCGTGCACATAGAGGAATGAATTAGCAGTGTGAAGGGGAGCCTTGTCCCTGAGCTGCTACCAGCACATTCACACGAACGCACGCACACACACACACACACACACACACACACACACACACACACACACACACACACACACACACACACACACACTGTGTCTCCACTGGAACCCGCTAAGGGGACAAAAGACCGGGTGGGTCTGCTGGAAAGAGACCCAAAAGCAGAGACTGCAAGAGACTGAAAAAGGTCAAAGTATGACATGAACTAATGAGGACAGACAGTCTGTCAGGACACTGATCTGAACCATCACTCTGATGTGCAGGACTGTATCGTCTTTCATAACCTCCAACGCACAAGACAAACCTGATTGTAATGTGTCGGAACCTAACAAGTGTTCCAAGAGCCATGCAGGTCGTGTCTGTGAGACAAATTGTTACTATATTTGGTAAAGACTTGATGCAAGGTGTGTTTTAGATATTAGCTCATTCTTGAACAGAGTGGAAAAATCTAATGAAGTTAATTTTATGTCTTTAAAAAAGTTCCCCTTCAATTAATAATCAAACAAAGACTACATAAAGTTTTTTTAAATAGATATTTTTGACAAATCAATCATTTTCAAGCAACAACTTAGAAAGTAATAAATCATGAAGGCACACAATTTATTTGGTGGTTATATTCAATGTTTTTAAACACAACGTAAAATAATGGTACAGGCTATAAGAAAAACATATAGGAAGGCAATGTATATTCATATTCAACCATTTTAATCACCAAATATGCTCACATACCAATCGGAGGTCAATTAAATATAGATAAATTTGGCTGAATTTTAAACATTATAAGTGAGCTGCTGTAGAACTGTAGTTGGCTCATGTTGGCAAAGCTGAGCCTCATGATGTGGCTCACTGCGAGGAGCTGAGTCCCCCTTTATAAAACCCAGTTCATGTTCCAGTAAGGCCTTTATTTATTTGTCTGTGCTGAGATTTGGTGGCGTTAATGTAGGCCTCGCTCTAAATTTAGACTTTCATCTGATGGATCAGAACATTCTCAAATAGGCTATTGGTGATTTTCAAACACACAAGAAGCCTTCTTGTTGTTGCATTTGCTCCATGTGTGCGCCCAATCACAGGTGGTAACTTTGCAGTGTCGGTCTCCATGGCCGCTCACGCTCAGCAACCCGCGGGAGGCGCTGTCTGTCCATTGTTATCAAGCTCCTATTGACGTTTTCCTCCACAGTCCGTTTGATGCCAGAATTGATCCGCATTGAGCGGAGCGTCCATCCCGGTGATACCTGCGACCAGCACGGACACACACTGCGGGCTGGTGGCCACTTCTGTGTGCTGACCAACCAACCAACCAACCGACTATCCTCCTCCTCCTCCTCCTCCCCCTCAATCTCCGAACCCCCCACCCCTCGACCTGCGTCAAGCTTATTGAAGACAAATGGAGAAAACCCGGAAGTTTGGGACTTTTCACTCCAAAATAAAATGTAGGCTATGAAACGTCTTACTTGGAATTACATGATAGTGGAGATCTCATCACCATTAGCAGTGACGTCAGAACTATGTAGATTGTGAGGTAAAAGAAAAAAAGATGCCATGGCCCATGACATCACTGATGAGGGTGAGGTCAGCTGCTGTTCTCAGTTAGGTATGACTCACCTTTTTCTCAACATCAAGGTGGCTACAAGGTACTCACAAAGAATATGCAAAAGGTGGTAATACAACATTTGTGTGGTTATTGGTATTGTGAAAATGTCTTGTGAATGTGAAATAGTGGCAAGGTTAAAAAAAAAAATCGATTCTGAATCAAAACAACCCGACTAAGTTGAAAATGATCAGTTTGTTAGTTGATAGCATGAATAGATTTTAGACTGAACTTATTGTTATATACAAGAATACCATAATTCATTTGAATGTGAATCACAGAACATATCGAGTACCAGACAATAAATGTCAAAAGAAATATCTGCAGTAATAAGTTCGCTCGACCTTTAAAAATATATATTTTAAATCATTGGGCTCTACTTGCAGATGATGTAAACTTTTTTGATCCCTTATAACAAAATTGATTTATTTTAGAAGGCGAAGATATACAAAAAAAGAACAGATTTATTAAATTAGACTTTTCACAGTTTAAAAAAAATATAATGTAGTTAGTGTTTACCAATATATATTTCAAATTATTAAATGGATTAACCAAATTAAAAAAAAATAAAAATAGTCTTTAATGCAGTCATTGAATTAACAATAAATAGAAAAAAAGAGGAGACAAGATGAGCTAAAATAGGCCTCCTGTTGTCACTGTATTCATACAATGACATCTTTTTGGTTAAACTATAACAGCAGCGTATATAATGTCGAACATTTGATTTTTAGGCCTATTAACCTAAAATCAAAGAAGGCTATTAAATCACAGCACATTGACACCATATGGCGATAAGTCCCAAGATGTGTGCTGTTTTCCCTCAAACATATAAATATATAAAAATGAAGTCGTAAATGTTTCGTAGCAGCTATTATTTTGAAACTCTTAGCCGGAAGCCTTACATTTTATTGTTTCGTTCTTGGCGCTGCCTGAGCCCCCAGCCCCCCCCTCTCTGTGTCTGGGTCCCCACTGTTGCCATTCCGACGCACATCCCTCACATACGAGCAACAGCTCTGCGGAGTTAACCCGAAGAGGACTCCACGGACCCTCAGAGACCACTTCACGAGCGGGTTTCCCCTCCTTTAAGCTCGGGGCGAGCAGCAGCACAGAGATGCGCTCCTGGACAGAGGTTCTGTTTGGGTAAAGTGAGATTTAAACAAAAAAAAAAAAAATGAGACAGAGCAGCACCGCATTCACCCTGAGTCTGGAGGAATAACCCGGGAAGCGCTCGGTTCTGGTGGAGGATTGTGGAGGTGGGAGAGGTGGGGGGGAATGGGAGTCTTCATCTGTGCCGAAGACATGAGCATGATTGGAGGGGGAAGAAAAAGCTCGACTGTGGCGCTCCGTGTGTGAGTGTCCATCCATCTGGAGGGTCCAGTCAGCACACCTTTCTTCATGTTGCAAAAGCCTATTTTATGACAATGGATTACTTGCTGTGGGTGTGCAGCCTCGTTGTGCCCGTGGTGCTGGCTGTAGAAGGTAGGTCGTGTTTTATATTTGTGTCTACTTTTGTGTCCCGTGGATGAACAATGGGGATGCTTGGATGCATCAGAATTTGGCAGTAAAAAACCCCTTTGTCTCCATAAAAAAAAAATACCTTAAACACAAAGAAAAATCTGAAATGCAGAAAAGCACAGATTGTGTTTTTTCTTCTACCAATTTCACTCATGTTTATGTCGAAGACCAGTCCTTCCATAGCCCTCTGTAAACCACACTCCATTCATGTTTTGGTTAATTAAAGCTGTTAATATGAAGCGGCCCGCTCTGTTAAATGGGCAATTCCGCTGAGTGTCAATTTGCTGTGTGATTGTTGCTCATGTGCACATGTATCAGCACGCCTCGTTCCCCCTGTGTTTAGTGTGATTATTGTTTATGTGTGTGCACTGACGTCCAAGTGTTTCCTATGCTGCATGAAGGACTGCCCTGTTGCTATTGTCCCCTGTTGATGTCACACCCACGAGCTGAGTGAGGAAGCCCACCTTGCCCCACCTTTTCGAGGTTAGATTCACACCCTGGAGACATTCCAGAGGTTTGTCCCTTTAGTGTCACCGTACCAACAGGACACACACTCTTCGTATGATGAACGCCAAAAGGTCTGGCGGGGTTCAGGAGAGTGTGTGCGTTTTAAACAGAGACCCCGAGGTGGATCAATCGCGGGCCCCTGGAGTGCCACGGGGACACACATGCGAAACATATTAGTGGACAAGTGTGAATTAAAGGTCAATGGCTTAACAAGTAAGCTGCAGCCCCTGAAGCTCTCTCCATCACCAGGGGAGTGGTGCTCAAGGGAGAAGAAGCCCCCACCACCATCACCACCACCACCACTGCTCCTACCCACCCTCACCCTGGTGACGACTCCCTTTTCTCAGAGCTGTAGCTACAATTCTCCTCCCTCCCTCCCGGTCCAATCTGCCTCTCCTGGACCGTGGCCAGCCTGATCCCTCATCAATTCTGGTGTCAGCGAGTAAATCAATGCGGCGGCAGCAGCCCTCCAAGTCCCAGTGGGCTCTGACGCCGTGACGATCAGCCCCCGTTTCCCCCCCCCCCCCCAAACCAGACAACTAAGTGTTACTCAAAGCTCAGGGGTTAACTAATGTTTGTCCTCTGAGGATCAACATGAAGGGCAGATGATTGCATGGCCTTTTTTAAACTCTTCCTGCTTACTCAGTGCATTTGTACACATGGCTTGAATCTGGATTTAGTTTTTTTTTTTTTTTTTTTTCAGATTGGCAAGCACTGCAACTTGGAGTGTATTTACTAAAGCTGATACACTAATGACTTATCTCCAATTCACACCAGCAGACTGCAGTAAAAGCCTCAGCACTTGTGACACTTTTATGTTGTATTACTCTCATTTACAGTCGGCGTTTACTGTACTCTTATTTTAAAACGCTCGTAAGCTAGATGGACGACCACTCAGGAAGCATTTTGTAAAATCATCTACAGCATGTTTATGCGTGTCATGCAGGGAAATGCTTCAAGATTACTGATGGTTTTCACATTTCACTGCTTTCTTCGCATCAGGATATCAACACAAATCATTGTTTGTTGACCTGTGAAAGCAGATGCAAGCAGCCCTGAAGAGAGATTGAATTAGGTCAGCTTGACTTGTTCAAAAAGAGCTCATCAAGCGTCCAACTGAGCATCACTGTCGACTGTTATCACTCTGCTTCTATAGAGGGAAGCACGCTCCAAAATACAAATGAACCTCTGCTTGGAATGAGCTCACGAGTCACTTTATTATATGCTGGTACACCAGGTTTTTTTTTGCACCTATTTATAGTCGGGCATTTGATCATCCTCTGATCGCTGATGATGATGATGTTTGGCTGTTAATATTTCATATGTTTGCTTGTTGGCAGCGAGTGTCAGCGTCGTACAAGGCGAGGCCTCCCTTTCATGCTGCACCCTCTCTCTTACAAAGTGAATAAAACATTAGCATGTGTGGGCTCCCAGAGCGCACTGAGAATGCACAGTTGTGTGGCATTTTGGCTCCAGCGGGCAATCAAAAAAACAAAACAAAAAAAAAAAAGCACTAAATGCCACGGGTGGTGATGCTCTAAAGTTCCCACTGCAGCATTGTTTTCTTACCCCGGGGGGAAGAACGACTCCGGCGCTGCTGTAGTTTTATGGGAGAGGAGGGGGCAGATTTTCTGGATTTGAGTTATAGCAGCCAGGCGATCTCAGAGGCATTGTAAATTTGACAGTAGGGGGGGGGGGGGAACTGTGGAACAAATGGGATCTTTTTCAATCTTAAGATTTAGTGAGATGGTGATAACACACTTCAGGTAAAGAGAGTTGTTGTTGGAGGAACCTTTTACAGACTGGAATTTGAGTGTTCTTGGGCAAATCACAAGACGGGACTCAGATGTTCAGCTTGAGGATACTTACTGCCGGCCCCTTCTGCTGCCTTCTGTAAGAAAACTGTCCCCTCTCAGTCTAATGTAAGGTCAAATATCATGCTAGGACTGAATCTACTATAAGTGAGTAGAGTAGTTTGTTTGTAGGAATGCAGCCTAGTATTGGTTGAACATTGTTATCAGCCCCGTTGTCAGATATTCGCCCAACGGCCAATGTGCCATTCAACATTCAGTAGCCGGTCTGTCTGTTGCGTTGCCTCAATTGAATACTGGCAAGCTAGTGTAGCTAACTGCTGATTTAGAGAAAGTGTTTTTTTTAATTGGGCAGAAGTAATCACCTGTTGGCCCGAAATCTGTTTTCATTATCAAATGTGGAACACAAAGTGGCAGCGTGGAGGAGAGACAACAGCATTTAGTTTGTAAGATGTGTTCCAGTGACATCACAAGAGGAGGGACTACTAACGACACTTTGAATACATCCAATCGCATTGCTCACTTGAACAACAGACCGAGAGAATAACAAAGAGGTGATGAAAATATAGCACATGTTGCATGTTTAGCACTTTTAGAAACAAGAGTTTGTAAAGTACTTTGACGAAAGAAAAAGCGAAAACAAGATCATCAGAAGGCAACGCAGTGGAACCCAGAAAACATCGTGAAACACAAGAGGACAAGAGGACAAAAGACGCAAAAACAAAGTTGAGATAAGACGGGGGGGGGGGATGATGAAGGATGAGGACACAAAAACACACAAATTACAACAAATTCAAACTTAAAAAAATATGACGTCATTTCGCTGGAGGGAGTCATGTGTTTTTAAGGTGTGATTGAAAAGATGCAACTGACTCCTGGAGCCGTACGTTCTCTGGCAGGTTGTTTCAAAGTTGAGTTGCCTTAAAGGGAAAATCACAGTCCTCCTTTTGATTTAAACCTCGATTCTAAATAGAGAGGGAAGGTGGAGGATATAAGGCTGCACATTGAATCATACGGTGACATGTGAAGTACCACACCTTTTCTTCCCTTTTACTAATTCTGATAGCTGCACTTCAGTATTGACACAGAGTTCCCCTCAAAGATAGAGTGTAAAAAACTACAGCTGAAACCTGTAGATTTTCAGGGACAATTTATTTTTAAGGTTTCCAGTTGTTGCTTTGACTGATGTTCTCACAGATAACTCAATTTGTAATTGGGTTGTTATCAGAGGTAGATACAGAAACCAGTTTAGGTACTTTTATGCGTAACCTTTAAAACAGCCGTATTCTTTAAAAAGAAATGACTTCTCTTTCTCTATCGCAAAGTCAAAGGTCAGGTTTTGGATACAAATGGTACCTGTAGAGCTGCTAGAGCTCAGCAGGGTGAAATCCTGCTGTTTTGGACCCAGATTGGACGGATGCACCATGCTTGGTGCGCCGCTGTGTGAGGAGAAGCCTGTTCTAAAAGAGTATCAGCTCAGACCTGTGGTTAGCTCAGGATGAGCGGTTCTGTCTCTGTGTTGCCTCCAGGCACCAGGAGAGAGAAGAGGGAATTGGGTGACGCAGCGGTTCAGACACCCAGGGGACAAGCTGGATCAGCGGCATGAAGTCCAGGAGTGATCAGTCAGCTGTGGGCCTCACAGGGCTGAGGGTAGCCAGGCAAAGACAACAGACGCTGATTTCCCTGATTAGTTCCTCCTCTCCGTCTCAAGTCGTGCTAATCAGTAAAACAAGCTTGTTCGCAGTCGTGGATTTAAGCTCGACAAGTGAAGTTATTAACTGCTGCCGCTCACGTCCTCACACTCACACGTACAGAGGGTGCTTTTAAACGAATAGCAGGATTTGTTTTTGTATTTAAAGCTCAGATTTACATTTGCTTTCTGCATAAATGTTACTCATTAAACAATATGCAGAGGTTAATGCAGTCCCTGTTGTAAAAAGATTGACAAATGTTTATTTAGTGCAGCACTTATAATCTGTTTATTCAAACCTTTACAGAAAACATTTTTATCTGCCAATCAAAGTCTGCTTATTAATCACATGACTTCTTAATGCTGGGGTCCCCGCACTCACTGCAAAGACATTTCAAATCACTGTCAGTTTAAAATGACTAATCAGAGCTTCATATGTGAAGACGTTGTTGTTAACTCAGTTTAAAATAAAAATGTCCCCCCGTTTTAAAAGAAAGGACATTTTCAGAACACTGGATCAGCTTGAAAACAGAACATCCTCTCATATAAATAATATATAACATTATTATTTTTATTTGTATATCTTTCATGATGCCACATCACTTCTGGATGTTTTCAGCCTTGATTATTTCTTAGAGGTTGAAACAGTAAGTGATGAATGAGCCATGCTTTATGTTACTTCTGGAAAACCTTAAAACTTGGGTAAATGCGTTATTTGCCTAATTGTGAAGCATTAGAAGAGAACATCAAAACCACTTTGTGTCTGTCAGGCTAAATAAGAAGCTACAATCATCATCAGCTTAGCTTAGCAACTAAAACCTTGATACAGGGGTAACATGCAAGCCCAGCTCTTCTGAGTGGTCTCTATCTGGGCCTGGGGTCTTTTCTAGGGCCGATATCAACAATTTGGTGACCAATATCGATATTGGGGAGAAAAGAAATCTGATACTGATATATCGGCAAATCTATCTTTCTTAGATCTATGAAATCTATAGAGCTACATAGATATAAATACACATTTATTGTGTTGATCCCTGAAATGCAGTTATCATCAACACTTGTGGAAAAGATATATAATGAAGACAAGATGGTCACTCAACTGGAAAGAAACTGTCCACGTACGTGCGTCACTGCTTAACACTCTGGAGAGTGATAATGCTTTTTGTAATCCATATAGTAACTCTGCTGGTGAAAGAGAACAGATGTTTAATGAAACTCAAATGAAATGCTATTTGACTGGTGAATAAATCTACTAACTTCAGTGCATATGTGGATTAAAATAGCCGATACCTATATTCACTGGATACGCTGATGTCGGCCGATGTTATCGGCTGACCGAATAATCGGTCGGGCTCTAGTCTGTGGTTCAACATGGCTGCTCATAATAACACACAGGGTTGTGTCGTTCGTTCATACTTTTATACAAATTAATTAAATAAATAAAAGTATGATGGCCTGTGCCGTATCAAAGTGCTGGGCAGGTTTTTGTTAGCAGGCCAGCTGTAAACGTGTTTGCCTGTCTTTGCGCTGAGCGTAAGCGTACTAGTTCTACCCTTAACTTTACTGTATAGACATTAGGAAGCCTGGTATCAATTTCTTTATTGTACTCTTACAATAAATCACATTAGCATATATCCTGTAAATGCCAAACTGCTCCTTTGAGTTTGTGTTCTCATGTTATTAAGTGCTGCTGAATTTTCTATAGACTCGTCAATTGTGACATTATTGTGATGGAGAACAAAAGGATCTGAGAAGGTTTCATAAATAGTTGATCACTTTACATCAAACACAAGTTGTCAGCTCTTGTCAGCTTGTTTTCATTTACACACAAAGTGAAGCTCATTTGCATAGAAACAAAGAAACCATGAAGTTTTACTACTAACTTTCAGCCTCACCACTGACTGCAGAGTAAACGTTGTCCTATGGAGCACTAAAATGACTCCTCATTTTAGTGCTCCATAGGACAATCACACTCACTGTGGAGCATTGTTTACCATTACAGATTGCATCTCTCCTGTTGAATTCTTAGTTTGTTCCAGCTCCTAAATTTAGTCTGATTTTTTTTTTTTTTTATATTTTCAACTTTACTCTCAGAAGTTTTTATGCTTTTTCACATTTTAGGCATTACATAGTAAAAATAAATGGAACAATATTGAAGTTAAGTGGCATATCAATCAACATTTAAGTAATCATTAGTTTTAACCTTGGTTTGATTTACTTGCTTTTATCTCTCATCATCTAAAAAGAAGAAAAGTCATTTTGGTTTCTCTGAAGCACTGAGTGTACACACACACACACACACACACACACACACACACACACACACACACACGTCTCTAGCTCAGCAGCTACAGATGGACCAGCAATCTTCTCACTCAATCACACAACTCCTATTATTGACACCCAGGAAGCCAAGGACACGCCGTGCTTTAACTGTCTTTAAAGCAGAACATAAACCTACAGCATTCTTATCACACAACAGAACAAAGCCGTGTTTCTTGGAAGGAGTGCTGCTGTTGTTCCACACAGAAACATGCTATTTGTTTACCCTCTCACACCCTCCTTGGGCGTCTTTATCAACGACTTGCGAGCAAATGGTGCACAGCAGGCGTTGTGTCATTGAGTCTCCGTGAGGAAAGTGTAATTGTTGCTGTAATTATGTGCTAACAACAACAGCACAATGGGAGCCGACGCGGCCGCAGCTGCATGTTGAGAACCCAGAAAAACGGGTCGCTTCTTGTGAAGGGTGCAAAATAAAACTCCCCGGACCACCTCTCAGGTGACGACTGATTGACAGCCTCAGAACAATGCTCACTGATCCTGCTGTTTCATTCCTCTCCTCTGATTTCTTCCCAGCTCTCACCTCCCCGCGAAGTCGTAAACAGCCAGGGGAAGGGAAAAAAAAAAAAACGCATCACCCTTTAACTCAGATTTGACTAATCTGAGTTGAGAGGCGTCACACTCGGGTGTTCTGGGTGAAAACTTCTCTTACGAATATGATTTATTAAATCTCCCTGTGCTTGTTTGACCTCTCTGAACTGCTGCGTCTTAATGGAATACTTCCCACTGAAGGCATCTTGGGGAAGGCTTTGTTCTGAGCTTCACAAATGAATATTGAAAAGGAGTGCATTTGCAAAAAAAAAACACACACACAGAGAGAAGGAATTAATTAGGCAGAGTCAGAGATATGCGCTGATTGTCAGTGCTTTCAAAAACTTGAGTGCATGTGGGTGCAGGTTTTGAAAGAGGGAGAGGAAGTTTTACCTGCTCCTCTTGTGACGCAGAGGGTACTTGTGTGTGTGTGTGTGTGTGTGTGTGTGTGTGTGTGTGTGTGTGTGTGTGTGTGTGTGTGTGTGTGTGTGTGTGTGTGTGTGTGTGCTTCCTAATGCAACAGTTTCTCCTCCTCACACCTTTTAATTCAGCTTTGTCAACCTTCCTCCTACTCTTTTTATTTTGCAGAAACCCTTATGGACAGTCGGTGGGCAACTACAGAGCTGGCATGGACCACGTTCCCAGAGAGTGGGGTGAGTAAGTGTGTGTGTGTGTGTGTGTGTTTGTCTTTCTTTTTTTTTTTTTTGCGTTCCCTTGTTTTTTCTCCCTTTAACAGCATTTGTTCCATTTGCTTGTTAATAGAGCCCAGTCTGCCTTGAACAGCACACCTCCCACTGTTTTATATCGTTGTTTTTTGCTGTGTATGTTTGCTTTCTTGGATAGTTAAAAAAACAAATGAGGAACACACAATGAGTGGAAGAAATCAAGGTTTTTCAGTTTTTAGCTAAAAGTTCAGTTAAAAGCTTGACGACACATAAAGCCGTTAAACAAATGCGCAAACGAGCACATACTCAAAGTAAATCCCCACAGCGCATAAGGCCTTTTAGGTAGACTCTACCCTGCGTGTCTCCACAGGATAGGGAGCCGGATAATTGAAAGCATGTGTCTGTATCGTCTATATTATAGGCCCAAGAGCGCATTACAGGCAGAAATTAAGGTTTTCAGTTGATCCCCCCCCTGTAGGAATGGTGAGAAAATAAAACAACACGAATTTGACCCTGGGGCTAACAGCCTGACAGACCTCCCCCACTCCCGGCCAGTGTAATTTGTCTTCGCTACGTGAGCGCAAAGTGAGTCAATGGAAATGGTGGGTTTCCATGGAAACGATCTTCGGCAGCCCTCCTCTTTCCCTTTTTTCCTATGAGGGTCGGCTCTGAATGTCCTAGCATCCATGAAGTCATATGTCAGGACCAGGCGAGGCAGCCCCTCTCCTCGCAGCCTGACAGGCCCATACGTTCGGGGGGCCGGCAATTATCATATTTGTCAGGTAGTGCATCAACGTGTTGCTGGTGATTTATGACGCCTAATGCAGACTCCTGGGCTCATCGTTTGGGGATAAATTGCACAGGAGATCGCAGACGTGAGATGAGTTATGCATTATTTTCTTCCAGTTGAAATAATCAATTTCTGGGAAGCTCATTTGTTATGGAAACGAAACATTCGCTCCAAGAGGGAATTAGGAAAAAATCAAAAAAGATTGACTTCTCACAAGGTTATTTCCTAATGGACTAAATGTATTGACCAATGAAGCCATTTATCATATCCTGTTAGGTTAGCTGCATCATACAAAGAGCGGCGTTAGCCACATTTACAGCTTAAGTCTCCGTTTTCTTCTTCATGTGTGTGACATGTTAGCCTTTCAGTGAGTCATTCAAAGCTACAGCTGTACAAAAAAAAACACTTGGATGCAAATATGTGCTCTCAGGTTATATGTGTAGGCATGGGAAAAAAATATAATGTCTTTCCAACGTAACCTGAAGTGCTCAGGAGGGCAGCCACAGTGCAATCACATTAACAGCTCTGCATTTAGATGGGCTTTTTAATAAATAACTCCCTGTTTGCATTAAAGATATTAGGGGAAATATACAGTTTTATGCCCTCATCCCTTGTCAGCACAGATAACAAATTTATGTTATAGAAACCAAATCTCCTCTTGAGGTGATTTCAATTGCTTTACAGGGATGTGTGTGCTTCCTCTATGTGTGTGTCTGCAGTTTGTGTAGGAGCAACTGTATGTGCACCAACACATTTGTGATCTTACAGCTGCAAAACATCCCTCTATCCCATAACCTCAAGCGCGTGATCAGCATCAGAGCGGATTGTCAAATAGGTATAATGCGTGAAATCTGCTTTAATGGGAAAATGTTTCCTATTAATAGTCTGAAATGATTGGAATTTTCTGAATGATTCATGTAATTAGAAGCATTTTAGCAGCAAATGATTCCTCACAGGCCACATGTACACAGTAAACACAGGGGGACATGTGCTGCATTTTGATTTTCTGTTTTATCACTCCACTTGTTTGCTGTTTGGAATGCCCTCTATGCTTAAATGGCTTGTATCAAGATGCAGCGCATTTAACATTACTCGATATTAATTAACAACATATTTGATAAGTGGGCTTCTGCTGTAGCTCAGTGGCTCAGAAACAGTACTGCTGTCGCGTCAATGAAACACATTAGATAATCCATTTAATTTAGCCTCATTTTAATCTACTCTACAACTATCGTCTCCATCAGCAATGATGAAGAGTAGAGGTCTCCCTACACCACTTTTTCTGTCCCAATACCGACCCAGATTTGATACCGAGATTTGAGTATTGGCTAGTATCAAATATTGTCTGACACAAGGGGTGATCAAATAATACAGCGTATTGGTAGAAAACTGATTGCTCAAAAATGTCCAGCCCAGACTAACTAGCATTCTCTGCTAGCACTCTGTTCACACTGATATTGTCTGGAGTTGTCACATATCAATCAGTCTTTAATAGAATCTTGCCAGTCCATTACAAATGTTATCTCGAGACACTTTACAAAAAGCAGGTAAAAGACCTTACTCATCGTTATATTACATAGACCGAACGTTAATCCATCATGAGCACAGCACTTACCAACATTTAGCAAAGTTACAGTGGCAAGACAAAGCGTCCTTTTAAGAGACAGAAATCTTGGGCAAAACCAGGCTCATGCCGAAATGTCGATTTTCCTTAGTTCTGGTGTTTTTGTATTTTTTTTTTGGCGGGGTGGGGGGGTATTATCTTTATTGGTATGACATATGTATTAATGGGTATTGGTATTAGAAATGGTACTCGTATTGTTATTGGTAATTACTATTGGTTTTGGTATTGGTATCAGTACTAGTATTAATATATGTATCTGTATTGGTATGAGTGTTGGTTTTGTATCTCTATTGGTGTCAGCGCTGGTATCAGTATTGATATCGGTGTTGTTGGGACAACTTTAATGAAGATTGCTAAAAGCTTTTCCAGGTATCCGCTGTCCTCTTTTCCTGTGTCATAGTGTCTTTCTGTTGTCTTCACAGTGGGAGGAAGTGAGCGGCTACGATGACTCAATGAGCCCGATCAGGACCTACCAAGTGTGCAACGTCCGACAGCCCAACCAGAACAACTGGCTCAGGACGGACTTTATCCCCCGCAAGGGCGTTTTGCGAGTCTATGTGGAGCTCAAGTTCTCAGTCCGTGACTGTGCCAGCATCCCCAACATCCCTGGCTCCTGCAAAGAGACTTTTAATCTGTTTTACTACGAATCCGAGGGCGACGTAGCAACAGACACCAACCCACTGTGGAGGGAGAACCCCTATGTGAAGGTGGACACCATCGCCCCAGATGAGAGTTTCTCTTTGCTGGAGGCGGGAAGGATCAACACCAAAGTACGCAGCTTTGGACCGCTTTCCAAGGCAGGCTTCTACCTGGCGTTCCAGGACCTGGGCGCCTGCATGTCTCTCATCTCTGTCAGGGTTTTCTTTAAAAAGTGCTCCACGACTATCGCCAACTTTGCCGTCTTTCCAGAGACCGCTACAGGGGCAGAAGCCACGTCCTTAGTGATTGCCCCTGGCGCCTGTGTGACTAACGCCATGGAGGTTTCCGTGCCTCTGAAGCTCTACTGCAACGGGGACGGCGAGTGGATGGTTCCTGTAGGCTCGTGCACCTGCGTCGCAGGCTTTGAACCCTCTGCAGACGACACGCAGTGCCAGGGTATGTGTGGTTAACAGACATTTCGACTTTTATTTAACCAAATCTCCTTTATATGCTCAGTGCAAGTCACCTCAGTGTGTGCCCTCTTCTCTGCATTTATTGTGTGGCTCCTGAAAAGGGGGGTGAAGGAGGGTGGAGGAGAGTATGAATTAATGAGGTGTTGCAGAGAGGAGCAGCATACAAATATTGTGAGAGCAGGATGGGAGGGAGAGAAAGAGAGAGAGAGGTAGCTGGGAAGGCAGAAAATCAAGTGGCTGAGAGAAAAAATGCAGATAATAGAAAGAAAAGGGGTTCCAGAGGAGAAGATTTTAACAGAGAAAGAAAGATAGTGTGAGGAAAGAGGTGTGAATCGCCAGAGATGGGATGTGAACAGCAGCCAGAAGGAGAAGAATGAAAAGGAAGGAGGGGGGAGGGGCTGCAGGAAGTCCAAGACAGACAAGCAAAGCCTCCTCTCACCTGGGCTTGAGAAATAGTGTTGAACACGCGCTGGAGAGCTCATTCGTTGCCATTTGGCGGCTCAAGGTTAAAAGCTTGCCGCCAAAGACTGATAAAAAGCTCTCCAGGGTTTTCAGCGAGCCGCCGCGATGAGGAAGTGTAATTTCCTCCGCGGCCTCCCGTTAGTTAATCTACAGGCGGCCACACTCATTAACACCATTCAGACCAACGTGAGCCAGCACTGCCACGCTTACATTAATCACTCAGACATTTCATTTCTTACCTCTCGTTTCGCCGTGCTCGCAGCCAAACGCTGCTTGAGAAGGAAAGAGGGGGAAGGAAAAGGAGGGAAGAAGAGGAGAGGAGGAGACAGGGACAGTTGGTAGAGAAGGGGGGGAAACATTAGTGCATCAAAAACTGAGGTATAATCATGTGCTGCAAAGAGGATTGCAAACAGATAGTGTGCAGATTTGGATTTCCTTTGAAAGGAAGTAAGGAAAACAAACAGATAAAAGAAGATGATGATGCACTGTGTGAGAGAAGAGACATAAATCAGATCAGAGAGGGCAGAGCCCTAAAGGTCTCAGTGAATTATGAAAGAAAAAAAATGGAAGCGTTCTCATCTTATCATCTTTAGCTTTTTATTGCATGGCTTTAGAGCTACAATGTGGAGCCATTAGCTGTGCAGATTTTCCTAAAAGTGCCATTGTTGGGAGTTAAAACAGAAAGACCACTTAGACTAAACTAGTTAATTGCTCCCTCTCTCCCTCACTGCTGGATTTTAGAAGCCGTCACGCTGACAGGACAGATGTTTGCCAGAGACCCAACTTTTTACAGCACCAGTTTGGAATGTAGCAAACAGTAAAACATGGGGCTCTGGAGGCAGATATATCCAGGCCTTTTTGCTGCTAATCCCCTTTATCTGAATCCGTCTTTAGTCCGGGCTTATGCTGGTTTATCCTTAAGACTCGATATCAGGCAACCTTCAGCGCGACACTTTTGGAATTCAAAATTAATCGCTTGGACACATCGTGCGAGCTTACCATACACTTTGTATACTTTTCCTAACAACTATCCTCAGCTAATTTACGTCACTCTGATGTCCCGTCATTTGAATTGATTTATTGGCTTATTATGGAGCCACTCTGCATGCATGTGGACGCCTTGTTTGTATGCAGCCCTGTGGTTTTGGAAGCAACAGACACTGATTGATGGGTTTGGGGTGTATCCCTCGTCTTCGAAAAGCATTCTCCATCCCTGTTTGTCTGACAACAGCAATCTCCTGTCAACAGTCTATCTTCATCTTTATCCTACTTCTCCTCCTCTTCAACATGAAACTTAGCTGTCATCCAGACTCCCTTTTAGGGGAGATTAATGTCACCTGGGAAAGGGAGTGAGAACGAAAGAGCAGATGCAAATGTATAGATAAGACCGTATGCTGAAGTGTTTGCCATTTGTCACGTTTTATCAGCGTTTTCTGCCCAAAAATCGAACGTTGCAGGTACTTCAAAGGTACAGTTTTTGTTCTGTGGCTGATATGACAGCCGCTTGTTTTTCAGATAAGCGACAGCTTAGTGTTTGTTTTTTGTTTTTCTCTTCTCATTGTCCCATTTTATCTCCTCTGCCGCTTTTTCAGCCTGCTTCCCTGGGACCTTCAAATCCAAATTCGGGGAGGGATCCTGCTCCCCTGCCCGTCCAACAGTCGCACCAGTGCACGAGGAGCCAACATTTGTCCCTGCCAGAGTGGCTTTTACCGGGCTGACAGTGACCCCCCTGACTCAGACTGCACCAGTAAGTCATCCATCCAATGCACTCACTCAAAAAAAGTCCTTGATCCCATATTTGAAAAGTAGGAGACACACAGTAAGCACAGTCCAATAAATGCCAGGTTGAATCTGTTTTAATGACGGTTGCAATGATAGCGTTAAGCTGCTAGAAAATCTCAGGCCATCCTGTCCCTGAAATCCTCCTGAGTTCCTACTCACGCTTGTCCTTCAGTGTGAAAATGTTCCTGTTGGATGGGGGCTCAGGGGGCAAGACATGCCGTGAAAATAAGGACGCTGCAGAAACCAAGATGGCTGACAAAGCAAGAGAGTCCCTGATTACGACGCCAGTTTATTGCCTTTTGCAAACAAAAAAAAAGAGAGTATGAAGCGGCTTGATTACATGCATGATAATAACACCAGTCACATGTCTTTCAACTCGTCAGTGCCCCTAAACAATTGTAGTTAAAAAAATAGTGTTAATGTTTCAGCAGGGATGATATCTCCTCAAGTTATTGGACTGGACCGATGTACATTTTTTAAATTCTAAATGAATTACTCAAATCACTTTACAGTTAACCAGCTAGGGCTCACACATTGTTGGTCTGTCCTCTGTGCCTTAATCCCTTGTGGGAAAAGGGAAAACACCTCTTTAATCCGTGTTTGTAAGTTGACAGCGCATCTTCTGACAAAAACTAAACACTGAAACCTCCACGTTTAGTCCCGAGGCTTAGATGCTGTCTCTGAACGACTGTTAATCGTCTCTGTGAATTTGTACATTTATTCACTATAGCTGCACAATTACTGTAGCTGATATTTCCTCTCAAACAATTACGGGTAAATTCCTAAATCCGTCACAAATCTGCAGCCGGATTCCACGTTCAAACTAGTCTCGTCTGATACTGACCGCAGCGTCCGTGCTTGTTCTGCATGCTCAGGCCTGAGAAGAGAAGTCCCAGCCGTCGTGCTGATGGAGAGCGACATGTGCTGCCTTGACCGTGTAAAATCACCCCCCCAGGGGCCTTTCGCCGCGTTAAATGACACACACGGACCGCAACTGTCTTCCCCAGATCCTTGTCACAGGAACACTGTGGACACTGACCAGCGCACACAGACAGGCGGGCATGGACACAAGCACCACCTCTGAACAAAAACACACACTATCACAAACACAAGCACACACAGGGATGACAGCTCTGTCCCTGTGGTCTGTCAGAGTTTGTGCCAGGCAGAATGTGCTTTGTGTTTGGAGCGCTGTGTTGCACAAGAGCGGCTCAGCTAGTCAATGGCCGGCAGCTTGGGCTCAGCGTGTGTTTTAGACGGGTGTCCAATTAGAAGAGCCTCCACTCTGAACTGTGCAGGCCTAATTAGGAAGGACAGTACGAGTGAAACTCGGCTCAGGGCGAGCTGAACAGAGACTGGCAGTTTTGGCCAACATGAGCTGACGGCCTGAGAGTCTTCCCATTGCTCTCTTTCTGTCTCTCTTCTCTCTGCTTCGAGACAGGTTAGACTCTCTGCAGCTGGAAGCTTAGAGTTAGAGCCCTGTCTCTTCTCTCGCTGAAATAGGATAAAAATGAAAAAGAAAATCTTTGTTGCCCCCCTCTGCGGTTATCACACTTTATCCAGGTTTCAAACACCTTTCACTCATACCGCAGCACTGCCTATTGAAACATGGAGTCAGGTTGTACTGATAAAACAACATGAATTTATATGAAGTATGGATTAAGTCCCACTAGCACCATGATGGGTTACACATACATAGGGATGGAGGCAGGTTTCAGAGCAGAGCTGTGAAGGATTGTGCTTTTCATAAAGGAGCATTACTTAGTCATGAACAGTGGAAGTTCTGCTTGTGCATAACAAGATGTTTTTATTCTCCTGTTTCTGAATATGTTGATTTATTTATCTGCACCAGGAAGGATTTCTCCCATTCTTATGTTTTTACATGCCTCCTTGCACTTTTCTCCATCTAAAAGATTTGTTTGGGGCATGTGAAGCATTTTAAACTTTTATTTGTGCAAACTGTTTCTTTTTTTAAGGATTAAACTCTTTTTTTTGTATGAGAAGTACGTCCTGTTGTTGCCTTCTTACAGAGACATTGATACATTAATGCACCATTCAGGGAGGATAATGTAAGCACTGCATAGGGAACATGACTAAAGCCTCAGCTGTTTGCTTTTCTCTTCCTGCCCACCCATTAAACACCTACGTGTGTCTGTGTGTGCGTGTTTGTGCAGCCATCCCCTCGGCGCCTCGCAACGTTATCTCCAGCGTGAACGAGACCTCGCTGTCCTTGGAGTGGGAGGAGCCTGAAGACACCGGCGGGAGGAGCGACCTCGTCTATAACGTGGTGTGTAAGAAATGCCTGCAGGACCGGAGCCCCTGCACGCGCTGCGACGACAACGTTGACATCGCTCCTCGCAGGCTGGGGCTGGGGCTGCGGCAGAGGAAGGTGGTGGTGAGGAACTTGCAGGCTCACACCCGCTACAGCTTCGAGGTACAGGCGGTCAACGGGGTTTCTGGGAAAAACCCCACCTCACCCAGCTACTCTACGGTCAACATCACCACCAACCAAGCCGGTTAGTACAAGAACAGTCAGTCAAGTCAGCGACACTTAATGTGTCCACAAACTGAGTTAATTCTTAGGGCAGCTTGGATCAATAGCACTTAACAACACGATGGAAAAGGCTGGTTATGTTCAGTCAATGTCAATCAGTGTATTCATGAGTCTTAGTATCCAGAGCAATGTTATCAGTTAACACACAGTGAACACTGGAGAGAGAGTGACAGACGGAAAACAAACAGCTAAAGAAATAACAGGAAGGGTAGATGGAATCATAAATAAACGTTATATCTCTACTGTCAGCTTTCAGTGTACTGTCAGCCGTCACTGACAATGTCACCTTTCAACACCTCCTCTTAATATCTGCAGCGTCATCATCACCAAAACTGCTCAGCACCTTTCCACAGACTGTAATTACTCTCCCAGTTAACCTGCACTTAATCCAGCTTTCTGCAGTTTATGGACCCAAGACAATGACTGTCAATTGAGTCACTTTCAGGCCTCACTAATCAATAAACTGCAGAACGTTGAAGGTGAAACATGTTATACCGTTTTTCTTAAATCGTTCAGGTTGAAGGATTTTGAATAACATTATCTCTCTTTGATGGTTTGTGACTTGGAAGGAGAGACTATTGGCGGCAGACAATATGAAGAGACTTTCCCCGACTTGCCGTGTAACCTGTGTCCTCTCCATTGTCTCACTGCAGCACCTTCAGCTGTGCCCACCGTTCATCTGATGCGCTCCACCTCAGACACTCTCAGTCTGTCATGGCTGCCGCCTGAGAAACCAAATGGGGTCATCCTCGATTACGAAATTAAATACCATGAGAGGGTAAGCTCTGAATTTTTAGCTGTTACATCTATCTAGGTCACACTGTATGCCTTATTGACTCTGAACTTTTCCAACCCTGTATCTACAGACGCCTTTTAAGAGTGGAGAAAAATATAACACGGAAATGTGATGCGTTTAGGGGATAGAAATGTTTGTTGTTGGAGAGTGTGAGCAAGTCAGACTTCAAAAAATGTTGATGTAAATGCTTCCTCACTGGTATAGACTTCCCAAGTAAGGCCCTGTAGTTATTATACATATTTCTTTTTAACCTTTTGTGGTAAAATCAAAGATTCTTAGATCCTTGCAGGCAGTCTGAAAACAACACTGTGTTAAAGAATTAAAAGGCCTGTGTTTGTTTCAGTCACTCACACACCAGTTTTAGTAACAACTTAATTTGCTTGACTGACATTAGACCAACGTAGCTTAATTCATTTGAAATGTTATAGCTAATGTCTTAAAGAACTGTCATATATACTGTATATAAATATGTAATATCGTTTCTTAGTTTAAAACTATAAAAGCAAAACTTCAGTCTGGAAACAAGTAGGCTGAAGTGAATTTAATAGTTTCAGTTTAAAAGAAATCTGCCAATTTACCAAAATCTTAAGTTAGCTATCATTAGCTAACATTATTCACTATAAACTACTAGCAACGCCAGAACGAGAGGCCGTTTTAACTTATTCAAATATTTTACTTTTGAATGAGTAAAATGTGTTTTTATTGCTTATTAATGTATACTTTTCTTTTATTTGAGTAAGACTTCTTTCTTCCATTTTTCTTTAGTACCGAAAGCTAAAAAACGGAGCTTGTGTACATGTAAACTAACATTAGCTTACATTAGCAACCTCAAGCTAGGCCACGCAGATTAAAGAGAACTGTAACAGAAAAACATTCAGCTCAGTTGGAAACTATTTTTTTTCAACTCTAAAGATAACCTTGTGTTTTTTTATTCGACTTTTTGAAACTAATGCTGACCGAGAACTCAAACATCTGAAGCATCTGGAAGAAGCTTGATGCAGCTGCTGTGTGCTGTGTTTTACTTCAGGGCCAGGTGATGTCCCACACAGTAACAGCCCAACACAGCTCAGCCAAGGTGGAAGGGCTGAGGGCTGCTACGCCCTACGTGGTGCAGGTCAGAGCTCGCACTGTTGCAGGATACGGACGATACAGCAACCCCATGGATTTCAGCACCAGCCTTCACAGTACGGAATAAACTCTCTCCTGCTTCAAGTCTGATCTTGATAATCTGCTTCTTATGCTTGTCCTAGTGAGGGTTCTAGCTTAGTAGTTTTTATTGCTGCCTTAATTAACAGACTTTACACTTGCAGTACAGGCTAACCTTTAATCTCCAAGCTGCTGTTTCTGGTGTTATTTACTCATGTGTGTCTGCATGTTATGTGGTCCAGGTGACCCTCAGAAGTCGGTGCAGGACCAGCTGCCTCTCATCGTCGGCTCGGCCTCTGCAGGTCTGGTGGTCATTGTAGCCATGGTGGTTATTGCTGTTGTCTGCCTTAAGTAAGTGTTTGATATTTATTGCTGACAGGCTGAAGTACATGTTTCATTTTGTTAGTTAGAGCCTGAACAAAGAGGCTCATTAAATTTTAAAGTGCTTTCAAAGGGTGCATACTAACATCTTCGCTTCAAAAAGAAGCTCTGCAGGACAAAAAAAAAAACGGCTCCTCTTGAGTTTCTTCCAGAGGTTTCATCTTATAGTCCAGTCAGATGTTTCTTCGTTCTACGTGAAAATGTCCAGGATGATTCTTTGAATGTGACTCTGTTTATATGCTGCTTGTTTACAGGAAGCAGCGCAGCGGCTCAGAGCTGGAGTACACTGAGAAACTGCAGCAATACAGTAAGTTTATGTGCTCAGCCTGAGAACTCTCCTGTGTACCTTTGGTCATGCCAGTGCAGTTATCCACCTGATTTAATCAATTATCCAATCACCTGATTGAAGCAGGACCATTTCCCTATTAGCACAGAGGAAACCCAGACCATGCTGTCTGTATCTTGTTTGGCATGATAGTACCCTTTGTATGTGAACTTTACCGACAAGAAATGTTACTTACTGCATATGTGGTCATACATTCAAATCAGCTCACTTACTGTCTATGTCTTCTGTTAATTAATAAGGAATGTTTCTGATCATTGAATTAGTTAAGTAAGAAATAAATGAATAAAGATCAAACACATCACAAGTTTTTAGATCAGAAGTAAACACACTGTCCTTCCTCCATGTAGCAATAAATGTACTCAGACTTTCTGTGAGATCACGTTTCATTTTGGGAAATTCCCTTAATTCATTCTCTTGCTGAGAGAAAGTAAAGGCCTTTCTCGTGTCTGTTAATTATAAAAAGGGATTTAGCTTAGCTTAGCATAGCCTAGATACGTGGAACCAGTTAGTCCGGCTTTTTCGAGCATTTGATAACTACTACAATAAGAGCCTCTGATTCTTAGAATAAACATGCTTTATCTTGTCTGTTGGACTCAAAAAAAACAAGGTCATGTTATCACTGTGAGGTTGCTAGGCAACCAGAGGAACTTCAAGGAAGTAACTGCGCCCAGCCATGAAATTGCCCCCCCCCCTTCAAGCACAAACAAGAAATTACAAAATACAATTTTTCCTTCAGCATGGGAAAAAAAAGACGAAAAAAGCTGTGAGTTGTGCTAACTGTTTCCTCCTGCTTACAGTCCTTATGCTAAGCTAAGCTAACTAGTATTGACAGCAAGCCTATTTCCCGAACATGTCAAACTATGTATTTAATTATTCTGGCTCAAATTGAACAAATATTTTATAATAAATATTTAATATATATTGATATGAATAGTAGCATTTCAAGTTCAGCCAGGCAGCTCTGGCTACATGCTGATGAATGTTTTCTCTCTCAGTTTCTCCAGGTGTCAAAGTGTACATCGACCCTTTCACCTACGAAGACCCAAACGACGCTGTGCACGAGTTTGCCAAAGAGATCGACATCTCCTGCGTGAAAATAGAAGAAGTCATCGGTGCAGGTAAACAGTGCTGTATTTTTTTTGTCCGCAAGGATGGAGAAAGATTCTGGATTATTAATCATTTATTCGAACAGGAGTGTGCCATCAAGCCCCGAGGTCTGTTCTGTAAGAGAGTCCCTCTTCAGGACTCAGAGTGTGCACGAGAGCTGCCAGTGGGAGGGATTGAAGCGAAAATCTTCTCGCTCAAATCCCCCTTTGAGTCTGTTCTTTTTTTTTTCTATCTTTCTCTCCAGCAGCATGTTGTGTCCTAACTTCACCTTCAAATGACAGTGTGGTCCTGTTCGCCCAATCCTCCCTGTCTCTTTTTTTTTTTTCTTTCTCTCTCTCTCCCCCTTGTGAACACTCAGGCACCACATGCAGACCCCCCAAACTCCTTGCCCATCCTCTGTCTCCTTACACTGCTCCCAGGTTGCACACTCGATCGATACCTGCCACTCCCTCTCTCCCCAATATCTTTGACCTGTGATATCCCGTCCCTTTTCCCACGCCTCTTCTCGAGTCCTTTCCCGCAGCTAAAGCCGACCCTCGACTCTCTCAAATCAGTTCCTTCACTCCCGAATCCGACCAGTAACGTTCCCTCTCCTTGCACTTTCCCTCCACCCCTCCTCTCACTCGAACCTCCTCTCCCCCATCACCCTCACCCCCCCTCCCCTTCCCCGTACCTCTCCCCAACCTTAATTTCTCGAACCAGGCGAGTTTGGCGAGGTTTGCCGAGGACGTCTCAAACAGGCCAGCCGCAGAGAGATGGTCGTGGCGATCAAGACGCTGAAAGCCGGCTACACCGAGCGACAGAGGCGGGACTTCCTGGCTGAGGCCTCCATCATGGGCCAGTTCGACCACCCCAACGTGATCCGGCTGGAGGGCGTCCTGACGAGGAGCTGCCCGGTCCTCATCATCACCGAGTTCATGGAGAACGGAGCGCTGGATTCTTTCCTCAGGGTAAGCTTGGTGAGAGGCGTGTGCCGCGACACCTCTGACAGAGAAGATTACTTTCTGTTTGTATCAAAGCCGAGATGAACACACACACACACAGACAGACAGTCATTCACGACACCTCTGGGTTATCGGAATGTTTTACTCTCTGTAAAACACCCCGAGGCGCTCGCTTGCTGAGTGATAGAGATTAAATGTGCAATATAACGCCTGCAGACAGGCATAGTGTCTCTGCCTGACGTGACTGACTGATGCTGACAGGCTTTGCAACGCTCAAACTCCTGGTGGAAAACTGTCACACAGCAGACCTTTGGATACGTTTGCAGCACTGTATTAGAGAGCCTTTGTACAACTGCAGAATACATTACTGATCAGGGTTTGTTACAGACCTCTTCCACCTACACAAACTGCTGAACAAAGGCAGGTGAGAAATGAGGTGTCACACAGTACATTTCCAGCTGCGTGGGGGCCATTACATGTCATTTACATCCAATAAACCTGTTTTCTTGGATGGCTGCACTGTGAGGAAGTCCACTTACTGTAACTGTTCTGCTGGATGAGGTTACTTAATGCTTTCTGTTGGATCCATGGTTTTCTGCTGGTTTTTTTTTACCTTTGAGCAACATGTAGCTGGTTGTTTGGAAGTTGAGACATTTTGTGTTATCGGTGAGAGAAGCAGGCTTGTTTTTCGATCTCTGTGTTTAGTGTGTTCATGCGAGAATAATGTTTCACGTCGGTCTGTGGACTTTTGTTTCATAGTCTTATGATCTAGTGCTGCATGTTGCCTGTCTCTATAGACACACAATCTCTCCATTTCCAAATAGTTTAACAATTACACAGAAAAAAAACTCACTCAGACAAATTAGATCTGAATTTACAAAATCAGTAAAAAAAGACTTCTGATGTTTTTTCTACCTGTTTTTGAGGCACAGAGTACCAAACATTTGCTGACACAGTTTTCACTAATGTGTGATGAACTGCCTCGATCTAGTTCCACTCTGAGAGACTTAATTAAAAAAGAACAAAACATTATTTAAGTTAAGAAAAGAGTGTGAATTGTGTATTGTCCTTGGCACTAACAGCCCACATGGTGAAGTCTTCATGTATTTAAAGAGGTAGTGAGGCCGAGAGCAGGAAAGGACATCTGAAGAACTTAACCCTGACACTGAAGGAATGGATTGAAGGTGACTGGAGGGGGGAGGACGGTCGCAATGACTGACAGAGCAGAGTGGACAAAACAGATTTACCAGGATTTATTGAAAGAGGTTGGGCTGAAGTGTGGTTGGTTAATATTTAAAAGTAAACGCACCTACTTATTCTTCAGTAAGAAAAAAAACAACATCTGACGTTATTTTCGGGGGATCGGGACATAATTCCACTCGGACTAATTAACCAAATTTATCGATAATGACAATGATGGTCCGCTCCTGTCTTCATTAAGGGCTTAAAGAATTAGACATTTCATCGAAAATATTTTTGACTGGAAATAAATGAATAGAATTGTTTTCATTTATAATAGAAGGATGAAGAAAATAATTGTCTAAATGTAAAGATCCTCCTTTTCTCTTGGCTTCATTTATATGTAGATTAAATATCTTGGTTCTATGAACTTGGAAGTTGTAATGAACATTTTTAAATATCCCAAAAAGATTAAGTTTCAATTACAACTCTGAAGAAAAAAAAATCACCAGGTTATTTGAAAATGAAATGAAATCGATTTCAGCCCTGCCGCTTTAATAATCCTCACAGTGTGAGCTCGAAGCGACATCTCAAATGAAGGAACCTTTCTTTAAAAATAATGCGAAATTCTTAAATATGTTATTTCTAAGATGTTACATTTTGTGTCTTTGTGGCTTGAAAGAACTGGAGTAATGAGACACCAATAAGAATCAAAATAATTGAGCAATATTTTTTACAATCAATTCGTCGTTGATGTATTGGACGGACTTTTCTTTCGCTGCAGTCATCCTGTGAAACATGTTTACTGACTGTTTTATCAGTCAAAGTGTTTCAGCTCTATATTGTTCTCAGGTAAAGAAAGCAGTTTGAAATAGCTTTGATAACATCTTCATCGATTAATCTGACAATTATTTTCTCAAAAATCCCTTAATCATCTTGTTTATGAGATGTCAGGAAAATAGTGAAAAGCCCCAGGTGGCATCTCCAAATAGCTTGTTTTGTCCAACCAACAGTTTACTGTCAGAAGAGAGGCAGAAAATTGTCACAACCGCGGAGCTGAAAGCAAAATAATTGTCAGCTTTTAAAAAACGGACTGAAATGATGAAGCATTAATTAAGTTATTACCAATTCTTTTTTCCTCTGGTGGAAACATCGATGTGGGATCTTGGACACTGTAATGGACAATATTTACAATTTTCTTGACATTTGACACAGCGGACAATTCAGCCATGGAGTGATTAATCAATCATTAGCCACAGCTCTTAATCACTGAGCACAGCCTGACCCTCTTCCTCCTTCTCACCCTCCTCCTCTCACTCAGCTGTCCCATTATAACACAAACGTTTCCGCGGCCTGTGCTGTCCTCACCCTCGCTCCCCGTGCTGTCACCCGGCCTGTGACTCAGAGGAACTCTGAGTTCTTCTCTAACGAAGAAACCAAAGAGTTAAAAACACACAAACACACTCGCCCGCTGAACAAACTTTCAATGTGTGTCTCATGAGACTTTGTAAATGACCTCCTGGATATACACACACACACACACACACACACACACACACACACACACACACACATGCATGCACATAACATATGCACATGTAAATGCAGATATACAGAAAAAAGTCACACTCACACACACATTCATGCATACACTCGGCTGTGGCTTTGAGCGCCTGCTATGAATCATGGCTGTTTACACATCCATCCATCCCAGCGTGCTTTGCTGTCAGACTTCAGTGAAGTGTGCAGACTACAAAGCAGGATGTTTATGGTTTTGTCATGTCACGTCTTGTGTTCTTTGCCGTCTCTTTCTGGAGTCAAAGACGGGATTGATTATGTCGAAATTGTTTTCTTTCCCCCCCCCCATCAAAACTCTACTTAATATTCAGGTCATGAGAGAAAAGCTCACAGGGTAGAATCAGCCTCTTCAGATTTGCAGAATTTCTCGTTTTTGATAATGGGTAATTGTGTATTGACTTGCGATGGATTGGTGGCAATCCACACACGTGAGGTTTCACGAGGCTTCACAGGCTGGAGTCCTGATTTAGAAGCGTCTCCTGTTCATCCCCCCATGTCATGCTTTGTAAACGTGGAGAATCTTAAATTAAACCCTGAAACCCTGATCTCTGATTTTGTTTCATGCTTCTCAAATGTTAATAAGAAAGGGCAGAAATCTGCAAATGAAGGTCTTTTAAATTAGCATCTAAAAAAGGCTTTGAGCAACACGCATTTATAATTCCAGGATGATTTTTGCTTTAATGTCGAGCAGCAAAAAAACCTGCAAACAAAGCTGTGTTTATCAGGATTAGGTGAGCAAAGTCAGCAAGTTTCTACTAAAAAGGACCTTCTTTTTGCATACATTTTGATATTTAGGTTTTTTTTGTCATATTTTATGCTTATAAAAATGATTACTACCCTATTTTATGCAGCTGCATAGAAATCGCTGGTGTTTTTGTGACCTGCCTTTTGTAATTTTATGTCTTTGTGAAGCACGGTGTAACTTGTTTTTTTAAGAAGAGCTCTATAAATTATAATTATTTGGACTAGTTTGGAAGAAAAAGTAAAATCCCTTCAGTTGCCTGGTTGTGATTGTTGCAGCTCCCTCCTTGTTGTTGTGTTGCAGCCAGCATTGAGCGTTAATGGTTTTAGTACGACAGTAAAGACTCTAATTAATCAGCTAATTGGACAGCATGTGTGAAAAGGTCGGCTGTCAGTGACTGTCAGGAGCATGATGACAGATGTCATGTTTATGTGGCCTCAGTGATTGATCGACTCTTTGGTATTTTCTCCTCATCTCCTCTCTTTACTCTTCCCTATCGTCTCCTTCCGCGTATTTCAACCCATCTTTTTTTCTCATTTCTCATTCCCTCGCTTCCCTCGCCTCCCTCATTAACCTCCTCTTCCCCTCCTCCCCATCCCTCTCTGCTCTATCTCTGGCTGCTGTGTTTTTGTAGCTGAACGACGGGCGCTTCACGATGACACAGCTGGTCGGGATGCTGCGTGGCATCGCCTCGGGAATGAAGTACCTGTCAGATATGAACTACGTCCACCGAGACCTCGCCGCCCGGAACATTCTGGTCAACAGCAACTTGGTGTGCAAGGTCTCAGACTTCGGTTTGTCACGCTTCCTGGACGACACGTCTGCTGACCCCACTTACACCAGCTCCCTGGTCAGTATCCCGTGTGTGTGTTTGTGTGTTGACTGTATGCCTGTATACATTTCTAATTGAGTGCCTTAATCTGCCCCCCGTCACTTGCCTCACATGTACATATGGAAGCATGTGACACTGTTCATGTGTGCCAATATTTGCGTTAGTGTGCAAAGCCTTGTGTGAAATTTGCATTAGCTTCTGCATGTCTGTGTTTGCTGTCATGAGACTGTAGTGTGACTGTAGCTGATACCGCTTGTGTGTGTGTGTGTGTGTGTGTGTGTGTGTGTGTGTGTGTGTGAGCAGGGAGGGAAAATTCCCATCCGGTGGACAGCGCCAGAAGCCATCGCCTTCAGAAAGTTCACCTCCGCCAGCGATGTGTGGAGCTACGGCATCGTCATGTGGGAGGTGGTGTCCTATGGGGAGCGGCCATATTGGGACATGAGCAACCAGGATGTGAGTGAGCTTTACATGTTACAAACACACCTCTCTACAGGCTGAATGATCCCTCTGGGAGTTTTGTGTCTATAACTCCGTTTATCCCGCTGGATCGTTTCAGGACACTAAGCTCATTAAAAAAAAAAATTAAAAAAAAAACCTAGCTGAATCTCAGTTACTTAGAATTTTGTTGAAGTGGGGCCTCGAGCGAGACCCAAAGAATATAAAACATGGGCGTCGTCTCAGTGACGTCAACCGCTGGTTTCAGAATAGGCATCATGAACCCAATGATGGTTGTCGCCATATTGGAAACCATGAACTCCAGTAACTTTGGACTAATGGAGAGGTGGAGGTGGGCTGAATGACACACCTATCTTGCTTGATGAGTTATTACACAGTTTTTACCAAAACATGTTTACTTCTCCTGTAAACAAATAAGCATTTTAAAATGGGACCCAAACTGGAAACTCAAAAGAACTGCATTTTTTTTTTTTTTTTATTATTATTTTTTTTTGCACTTTTGTGTCAGCTTCCTTGACTGTGAATGTTCCAGACTATTACCTACTGCTTTCACACACTGTCTTAACCCCACTTCATGTAAATACACTAGGATGCTGGCATGAAAATGTCTGCATGAATTCTGGGTGAACAGATGGAGACTTTTGTTTTCAGACATTCAGCCCACCAGGACAACGTCCGAAAATGTTCAGTAGTGCAGTGCAGACGTGAAAGGCACTAAAGTTAGGGCGCCGGCAGAGAGTTTCTTTTGAGCAGTTGTGGCTTTGATTTCCAGTGTGACATGTTGGACCTGCTGTTTTTATCTCCTCATTGCAGATGCTTTTGCAGCTGTGTTCTACTTTTTACCTCCTTATTTACAGCCTTCCCTCCCACTGCAAATCCATACTGCAAAGCCAAACTCCTCACACTAACAAAGGAATACACAGGAAAAAGGCTTTTTATTTATTTTTTTCAGGCGCTGTTACCTGTAGGCTATCTGCACCTCACAGACATCACAACTACAACAGCGGGACTTGCAGCAAAGAAACCTCTTGGTTCCTCCGTCCTAAACAAAAGCACTGAAGCAATGTGTACACCTCCACTTTATTCCCAACGGAATATCTGCTCTGTATTGTGCTTCAAAAAAAGCGACTTGTAAAAGCTGAAAGCAATAAAGCAAAAAAAAAAAAAAAAAGAATGAATGAAAATGCCAGTAATGTATGTATAACTTTCATAACAAAACCCACATCCAGTAATGAAAGCTTCAAAGTCAAGGCCCTCTTTTGTTCCCAATAGCCTTTTGTGCCTCAGTCATCGCTCAATAAGCAACAGAGTCAACAAATGTGAGATATAAACAGAGGTGCTCGCCGGCTAGGAGCGCGACATAAAAATCAAAGGACAAGCAGCAGGAGGAGAGGAGTGCAGCAGAAATGTTTTATTGTTCCCAAATGGCAATTTTTTATTGTTGTGGGGAGTTTAAAACCCATACAGAGCTTGCGGAGGGGAAAGCAGTTGCTAGGCGAAATCAAATCAATGAGCCAACATTTTCATCCTCCACTTATTGTTTCTCCCATCAATCACGGCAGTTTTGAAGGAGCAACTTTGAGAATCCTAGAGAAAAATTGTTTTTATAGTTTTGTAAAGATGCTGAAGAGAAGATTGGGGTGTGTGGCAGCGTGAGCTGAGACACTTTCTCAAGTGGGACATAATAAACACAGCAACTAAGGATTATTCTCTCACCGCACTAACAAAGGCCAAACACAGTGAGCAAAATACAGATGAGTCAGAGGCTAAAGTTAACACTGTGTAGAGGCACCACATGAAACATGATTTAATCCGTCTTTGTAACATAGTCTGGGTTGATATCTTGCACAGAAATGCCTCAGTTATCGCTGTTTCATTTATAAGCGCCACAATATGGTCATTTTTTTATTTATCTATTAGTCAGTGACTATTTGTGACTCACTTACAGCAGGTTCAGGCCTAACACACACTTTGAAAATCACTGCATGAGACATTTTACCCAACATTGACATTGTTAGCATGTTAGCATATACATGTTAGCAAGAAGCCTCACTGTGTCAATTTAGGCATGACAGAGACCTTTTCAGACTGTTTTTAGCCTTTTTACTCTGTTAATTGATGGATGGATAGATAGATCTGAACTTGGTGTCCTGTCTCGCAGGTGATGACGGCAGTGGAGCAGGACTACCGGCTGCCTCCGCCCATGGACTGTCCAATGGTGCTGCACCAGCTAATGCTGGAGTGCTGGATGAAGGAGAGAAACCTGAGGCCCAAGTTCTCCCGCATCGTCAGCACCCTGGACAAGTTGCTCCGTAACGCTGCCAGTCTGAAGGTGGTGACCAGTTCCTACTCAGGGTACGTCTCTCTGCTGGAACTGAGGAAGCCACTTCCACTAATATTTGTTTCATAGTTGAGTTTCTTCTTACATAAAAAGTTTTTCACTTTGGATAGAAACTGTTTCCTTTTGAAAATGCTTTATCTCAGTTCTTTTTTTTTAAAGAGAAAAGCACTTCTTTGTTGCCAACTTGGCAAATTACTCAGAGATTGAGAAACTCTTCAGACAAACTTGCTGAATTTACTTTTTAAATAGCAGCAGCAATAAAACCTCTTACTGGATTTAAAGGATATGTGAAGAGGGACAAAAGTGAGAAAACTCAGCACACAACAGCAACCAAAGCTTAGATTGTAAAAGCAGAAGCTCATAGTAGAATTGCTTTGATATTTCATAACAAATTTACAGGAACTTTTGTCAAAAGTTTGCTGTGTTCTTGCAGTCCGGCTGCTACTGTAGCTGACCTTTGTTGAAAATATAGTTGCATTATCCCGCTGCTGGGCTCTTCATATAAGCACCAAGTGCTTTTGAGGTTTTTCTACAATAACAGCAGGATACTTTTAACACAAAGAAGGATGATGCAATTCCCTCCTTTTCACCTTGTGTGAGATGGTCCTCTATATTGCACATGACGGCTGTGAAGTGAAGGATGAAGACCACTTGTGGTGCGAAGCCGAGAGGAGTTGTGTGTCTTAGTTTGTTAGAGTAAGATGTCGGTGTAAAAAATAACGGGCTGGACTTTTTTTTTTAAAAAGACACAAAGTCCATGTTTGCTATGTTCTTATTGTTTTTGCTTTTAGTTGATTTTGAAGGATTTTTCTTTGACTTGAGTTTTTTCTTTTTTTTTTTCTAGTCAGTCATCTGCCTGTTTTCCCCCTTGGAAGTGAAGGAGTTGACTTATTCATAGGTAGCCGTCCTCAAGCGGAGGATTGTTTTTTAACTTTGTTTTGAGCGCAGTGACTCTGAGTGTTTCAGATACTTTCACTGACATGTTTGTTCTGAGTTTTGTTCGCCTGGCATCCAGTCAACAATATGATTAGTGCTGGATCCTTAGCTCTGTAGTGATGTATTATGAATTAAGCGCACATCCTCAACTCTGTGATGGCTTCCTGTTTCACAAAAGGCTGAATTCATACATACAGTATCCAGGTCTGGTGCCAGCTCCTTGGCTCAGAGTTCCACTCTAACACGGAGCCCCAAGGGCGACTCCTATGCCAGGATTCGGGCTCAGTGAAGCTAATTGTGTGTGGAAATGTAATGGCTGACCTCGGTTTAATTCCCCCTATACTTGGCTGGATGCTGGAATGTAGGTGATAGGACAGACAGCAGCCAGAGCTGCTGATGTGGAAAAGCAGGAGGTGATGAAGTGTGAGTAATAAGGGAGATTGAGGAGAAGCTAAAAGAGAGGAATGTGTTTAATTAGGTTGCTAATGAGCTTTTTAATGCATCAGGGAAGAGCTGCCCAATGCTTGGATGGGCCAATAGGAAGGGGATATTCGTGTGTTTGATGCTTATGTGTGTATGTTTTGCTTCGGAGCAGATTACATGCCAGTGATATATACACGGGCTCGTCTGTATTCAACAGTAAGAGCGATGGACAGAGCAGGAGAAGAAAGAAAAGGTTCATGTTGTCAGAGCACGATTCAGGGAGCGTCCCCCCCTGCGTTTGCGTCTCTGTCTCCCCCTCACCTGCCTTTGACTGCTTGTTGATGTTGGGGCAGATAAGAAAAGGAGGGAGAGGATATGAGATGCAGCGCTATCTGTAGAGTATCTTCAGCCACAAGGGCCTTAAAATCAAGGACACTGGCCGAGGAACAAAGGACACTGCCGCCTTTTCCAAGATAGCTGAGAAATATGTTGAACTTTTATTAAAACTGGAGATGTGATGAATAGATTTGGCTCGGCATTTCAGTCGGACTTTATTTATCGCAGATGAAGCTCTCGATCAGCACATTTTCACTCTCCTCTGTTTTATTGTTTATATCCACGAGGTCTAAGGTGCAAATACTCTGCAGAATGTAGCTACATCGACGCAAAGATGGATTAGACCTTTATCCACCTTCAATGAGAGCACTTAGCAAAGTAATAATGAGCTGTGTCTTTTGTTTAAAGTGGCTGTGAACCTGCTGCTGACCCGTGAGGCTGCTTTGTGTTGGCAGGGATTTGCTGCGGCTCGGGGGGACCCTGCCAGGACACAACAGGAAGAGTCCGGACAGCAGTCAGGAAATCGTTCGGCAACAGATGAGCCAAACTCTCCCCATCCGTGTATGAGCCGAGGATACAGAGCGGAAAAAAAACTACCTGAAAAACTCTGACGCCAAGAGCCTGATGTAACATAAAAAGAAGATTAAAGATGGAGGAGACAGAACGAGGACCGTGTTGGAGATTTCTTTTCCAACTGGAGATTTAATGTGCGTTTCAAAAGACTTTCCATTGCAGTGTGTGTGTTCACTACTTGACACTTGTGGATTTGTGACTATTGACATAAACCAAACTTCCTATTGCCCCTTCTCAGGTTGTGTTTGCATGTCTGCATGTGTTTTCTGCTGGTTGGGAATCAGTCTTTCCCCCCTCCCCGCCCGCCCGCCCGCCCGCCCACCCTCAGCCTGAGGACTCAGTGCCAAGACAAAGCTTGAAACAAACTTTTAAAGACAACTCCAAACCTTCCTGTACATCTTCAACCCAGTTGATCTTTTCCCTTTGATTCTTTTAAACCCAACCAACTCTCTTCTGTTATTTTGTTGATTTTAAGGAACAAGAAAAAAAAAAAACCCACCTTTCATCTGCTTCCTCTTAAATACTGTCTTCCACATGTACTGGGAGACAAACTTGTTACAAATGTGTACAAAGCGTCCAAGTCTTCACAACGTCTCCCCTTCAGAGCCGAGATGGAACTGACACTGTGCGGGACACGTCATGTGCATGCCAAAGTGGAAACTTATTCACGAGAAAAGTACAAATAAGTTCCACGTTTGCTGTTTGCTTTGGTGGCATTTAGCTGTACGGACTTTAAAGTCCTGGTTTTTCTTAACCTTGTTTGATTCATATACGCATTGTTTTTGAATGCTAAGTTATTACCTTATTATTGCAAAGAAGTGTTTTTTTTTGTGAGTGTTTTTTACGAGCACCAGGGCTTAACTTTTTTATTACTCTGCTTGTTTTTTTTCCCCCCCCACACACATTAACAAACCAGACAGACATGAATGAGTGGATTAAGGAGGACATTCTCTGCAATGACAGAATAGTTACCTTCCTAAACACTGAAGGGACTTAGTGGAGATCAAGTGTTCTTCAAATGAAACGCGCCAGTGGTAGTGCTGTAGTGTAAATGTGTCGCAGATCAGTGGGAAATAAAAGGTCACTGTCTAGATTACAAGTTTGCAACCTTAATACTGACCTGGAAAAAATTGATGTAGAACAAATTCACTCTTTGGTTCATTTCTCCTGATCTGTGTTTATTCCAGCACGCCAGCTGTCAGAGCAGTAATCTACAACAACTGCCTGTAAATACTATATTTCTATTAGAGCAGTCAGCTCAGCATTCACTACAATCTGACCTGACTGTGGCCTCTCTATGACCCTCGTTTATATGCTTGTTTGGTGTGGAGGAGCGAACAAATGAAGAAATTCCAGTTTAATGGTCATTACATATCTGAAACTAAATGTGACATTGAAAGAAGAAAATGTGTGTCTGTTCGGGCAGACGTTTTCCTGTGCAATTAAGGGTGTATTAGGTTGTAAAAAAAGAAAAAAAAATGCCAGAAAACCAGAAACGAAAATAAGTATTTCTCTTTCAGTATTTTTACGATAATCATATGCAAATAAATTATTAAACAGATCTCTGGTATTCTCTTTGATTTCTCGGCGGGTTCACCAAGGCTGGAGTTTCAGGTTTCTCTTATCCGCGCATGAAAAGAGGGAATAGCAAGTGGGTTTCACCTCCTCAGTTTGGAATATCGCAGCAGCTCCGGATTGAATTCATTAAGATTTAAGGTTAATCAAAGCATGGTCCACGCGGCTCACCAATTAGCGAGACCAAAGGACTATTCCGGGGATTTCTTGAAGCGTCTCTGCTGGAGAAGCTTCAAGGAAGCAAAGATAATCTGGCTTCACACCAAGAGTCAGTGTTGTTTGGCTTTAATCTGCCAGCCAGGAGACAAACTGGGTCTCTCTCCCTAACCGGAGCACATGAGTGAAGCTGTCACCTTCTGTTTTTATTGACACAGCGGTTGCTCGTCTATTGGAGCTCCAGGGAGTTCATACTTTTTCCGTTTTTTTTGGATTCTCTACTCAGACAACGGCAGTATGATCGGCTACCAAAGGGAGCACTGGTTCTGTTGTGTTCTCTGCATGTCCTCTAATCATCTCTGCTGCTCCCACAGGATGTGTACACAGCAGGTCATCATGAAGGCCTTCAGAAGTAAATCGAAATGTGTTCATACGCAGACGATGTGAGGCTGAGTGTTACTCCCCTCAGTGACTTTGGAAGCACGACATTTATCATCTGTGTCAAAGCTTTGTAGCTAGATCGCTGATACGTGCTGTGTGGTGGTGTCGCTGCTCTTACCGTTCATAGAAAGAAAAGATGTGAAGACGTGCTTGACCTTGGAAATGAATAATATGCATGCAAGGCTGCTGAGGAAGAAGTCCAGTGAAAAGCTGTATTTGCATCTATCTTGAAGAGGTTCCAGCTTTTTTTAATGAGCTCTGAAACACAGAAAAAGAGTTTTTTTTAAATGTGTTTGCTTGGTATTTTCATTGAGATCTGACACAATGTCAAAATTGAGATTTCGCATCCTGTTTACCATTAGGCATTTGATGCTTTTCCAGCCTTTTGCAGGCCGCTTTAGCTCCGGCTCGCCGCACATCCCGGCCGATGCTGGGTGACATATTTTTCCACCCGCCGCAACTCAAAGATGATGCAAAATGGCAGCAAACCTAAAGGAAAATATCTCATTATCGTATTACTGACTATTAGGGTGATGAGAAATCGGCGGCGACAGTTCCTCACAGAGATTTTAATGAGCGTGCCTCGTGGAGGGAAAGCTGAGGAAGTGATGGCAGGATGACAGACAGGTTTTATTTCATGGCTGCTGGTTGCTCATCACTGACCGGACAGTCTGCGGTTCAACGTCAAATCCCTGCATCATCAGCCCAGTGATCCCCACGATTACTGCAAGATTAACAGCAGCTCTGCTGTTAAACTGGACGAACATAATCACACATTAACACCAGCCGAGACAGGACACAGAAAAAAAGAGGACACATAAAGTCTCTGCAAAAAACACATTCAGATGTAGAACTGTACACTCTACAGCGCCCACTCAAACACAGATCTGCTGGACTGGTAGTGATTTGCCAGATTTAGCTGCTCCTCCTTGTATACCCCTTCTGGATGCACCAGTGTGTTCTCCTCCAAAGCTCAAAGCTCTCATTTGCCATCCTGTCCAAAGCAAGTTTAATGCCTCCAATTACAGGGGGTCTGCAAGCAGGCAGATTTGGAGCGAAGAGGCTTGGCAGGAGAGTTTGCTACGCATCAGGGCCTTTTAACAGAGTAGTGATTTGCTGCTGCTGCTGCTGCTGCTGCTGCTGAAGCTGCCTGCACCCGCTCATCAATGGAAAAGTACCCTCCTTATATATTGAAGCGGCATGCAGCACTAAGCCCAAACTGTGAGGAGAGACACACAAAAAATATCAGGGCTTTTTAAAAAAAAAAAAACGCTGTGCCCTTGATGTGAAGGAATTTCTGCATCTCTGCACCGCAAGCACAAATGGAAATCAAAGTCTTTTCAACAGTGATTTTCATGTCAAATGGGCTGTATTTTAATTGAATCTTCTGGAATGTGTACAGCAGAGCGTCATGGTGCAGTGCATTCAAAGAAGATAGCTGCAGAAACATAACATGTTTTATGGTGCATTAAATATATGGCAGTCAGGGGAAAGCTTTTGTCTTCTTCATGTTATATTCTTAATGAACCAGCTCCCACTTCGACAGCTAGAATATTTAAATGTTCCTTTTTAAAATGACTTGATAGTCTCTTAAATTTTGTTTGTATAAATCCGAAAGAGGCCATTTTCATTAATAATCACAATATGTTATAGTTTATACAAGAAGCAGAGAGATTTTAAAAAACAGGCTGACTTGTTGACAACCTGAACTACTGCAGCTGGAGATTAAGATGCATTTAAATGTGTAATCGATTACTCACAAAGAAATTCATAGACACTAATTAATCATCGATAAAACCTTCAAAAGGGGTTTATGATTTCTCAGCTTTCCTCTGATTTGACACTAAATCTATAATTCAGAATGAAGCCACACTTTATGAGACCTTATTCTTTTTTATTTAATCCAAATTAATGGATTACATTTTCCATTTCTTGTAACCCGATTATTGTAATCTTGTTAAAGATAATCCGTCACTCCCTTACCCTGGTCTTCAAGCATCATATCTAAACGTTTCAGCGAGCTGCAGCACTGAACGCAACGGTGCTATTTGCTGCAGCACCACGTCTAATGAACAATATAACTGGGGAGATTCAAAAACCTCTCATTATAGAAACACTCAATTTTCCCCTCAAATGATTTCTTCACATTTAATTAAAAACACACAAACGACTTACACACACACGCACACACACACACACAGACACACACACACGCAAACAAAACATGTACACAAACAAGCCTGTGATGGTAAATCATGCCTCTATCTTTCCCCTTCTTTTTCCTCCTATAGCTTTTTACCTCACGAAGGCCTTCAGTGGGACTGATGATCAGCATGACAGTGCACTTTGTGCTCACAGAGACCTCCCCACCTCTGCCCGTCAGTGGCCCGTCTCTGCACTGTGTGATCCATTAAATGGCCTCTGAAGGCTGGGCCATTGATTAATGTGTGTCAGTAAATCCAACTGGTTTGAAGGACAGGGGGCCGGGGAATCAGAAAAGTGGCTGTTGGCTGCTAGCTTAGCATTAAGACTAGAAAAAGGGAGGGAACAGTCCAAATCTAATTTTGTTCTCCTTCGTACAAACCTAGAAGTGTATAAAAATTGCCTCTTAATAAAGGGTTATGTGCCAGATTATTTCTTGGCGGGGACCAGAAACTTCCTGGAGTCTCAGTTGATTGCCCGGCAACGGGTCCCAGCCAAGAAACAGAGCTGAAATGAAAGCAACATATTCATAGTTTTGTCGCTAAAAAAACCCGAAACTGAAATCCTTTTGCTAAAAAAAATGAACGGTATAATACAGCCTATTTCCCCACTCCAGATAAGGATGGCCATTAAAACAAAAATGAATACTGCATGTAACGTTGTTGTTTATGAAACTTTTCTGTATTACCCTTCACAATCACAGCGTAAATGTCATGGTGCCACTAAAGAGACAATTCCCTGAGTCTTAACATGTCTCTGATAACATCAGCACAGAGTCAAATGCTTCAGACAGGAGGGATAACAGCGCTCTTCTATGTAAATCATAGAAGAGCGTGTTGGGGAGTATCAGCACTTCTGCAATGGTTAGATTTAATTGGTGTTGTAGTTTTTGTAAGCTCAAACAGTAATCTTTGTCTAAGTCTATTA